AATCAGTAAAATACCAAATTTAAAGGGTGCAAAATAATAGAGCGAATGGGACTTTTAGTAAGAAAAGGATTTCTATCCTTCCAGGAATTCTTCCCAAACATTCAAGATACCTTAAATCACTTTTGCAGGTCATGATATCGATCATAACTCACGGATAAGGGTACAATCCGATTTTATATTTATATAACCATCATATGATTTAAGCTATTTTTGGGGTCTTGGCCACTTTTTTCATATTTTGGCCCTTATTTGGCATCTTTGTCTCTAAGGGGTTAGGGAACCATCATACAGATAATTGCCACATAGGAATTTATTTAAGTAAAGTCCCCACATTGGAGTATCCCCAAGTCCACTTTCACATATAATGTGTGGTCAGAAAAGAAAATTTTGTATTCTATTGAATTTGTAACTCTCAAGAGAATATTGGTTGGAAACGTAGATTTGGGAAATACATCTATATGATAATATGGTGGATAAAACTATTTTTACTCATTTAAATAACGCGGAATGTTTTTCAGTTTGACATGCTATGTTGTTCTGTTAAATTTTTGATTTGGTCTCTATTTGTCATATTGGATTATAAGGGCTAGAAGAATGTTTTCAATGTAGGTCGATGTCTCGGAGTAGTGCCCATGTAAAAGTATCTCCTGATTTTACCATATTTCAAAGGATTTGGCTAAAAATGTGTATTTGGGGGGTGAAAACTTACACAAAAATATGAACATATCTACAAATTTTAGAATTTTTTCCATATAATAGTACCCCCTCAAGTCCACTTTTTGACGGACAAACAGACCGACATGGTTAGGGGGACTTATAAGAACGCTAATGGACAATCTGAGGTGCTAATGGCTTAAAAAAGTAATTAACTTTGGCTATTCTTAATTCATTCAGCGCTCAATTATGAGGTGTACAAAATACAGCAAATTCCAAATTACTGCTCATTTCACTGGAAGATTTTGCTACGATTTTTACCATACTAAAAATTAATTTGATCCCTTACATCGGGATAAGATTGATATATACTTTTTAATAGATTTGTATAGCACATACATATGGGTACAGGTATTTTAAAACACTTATATCAGTCATATCTGTGAATAATTATGCTTTGACAAATATATATATACAAATATATATATATATATATATATACTAGCTGGCCCGGTCCGCGTTGCCGGCCCGTAGTTTTTGTCTATTATGCATATTTTCCCAAGCATAATTATTCACTGATATGACTGATATAAGTGTTCACGTACTGGTCGATTAAAAGTGTTTTGAAATACCTGTGCCTATATTTAATTCTAAAATTTTGTAGATATCTTGAAATGTTTGTGTAAGATTTTCACCCCGCAAATACACATTTTTAGCCAAATCCTTAGAAATATGGTAAAATCAGGAGGTACCTTTATATGGGCACTACTCCGACCTACATTGAAAACTTTCTTCTACCTCTTATAATCCAAGGTGACAAATAGAGGCCAAATTAAAAATATAGCGGAACAGCATAGCATGTCAAACTGAAAAATTCGAGTGATTTAAATAAGTAAAAATAGTTTTATCCACCTCATAAATGAGGACAGAATGATTTCAGAATAGTCAAATATAATTACTATTTTACACCCATTACCGTAAAGTGGGAATTAATTTTATTTGCCATTTAAATTGTAAGTTGGAGACCCCATAAAGACCATATTTTTCATCATAGTATAATTCAGTGACGACTCAACAAATATTTGGTCCCGTGCTACTTTCTTATATTTGTAATTTGTTCATGTTTTCACAAATTATTTCATATAGATCTACATCCCAAATATACGTTCCTAACCAATATTCTCCTGGGGGTCACAAATTCAATAGAATACAATATTTTCTTTTCTGACCACACATTAGATGTGAAAGTGGACTTGGGGATACTCCAATATGGGGACTTTACTTAAATAAATTCCTATGTGGCACTCTGTATGGTGGTTCCCCACCCCAGGGTAGCATAAATACAATTTTTTAGCCAAATCAATTGATGAATGTGGTCAAGACAAATATTGACCTTATTCTGAAAATTTCAAATTTTATGCGAAGAGGTTCTCTACCCCAAAAAAGGTTCTCTCTCACAAAGAAAAAAGTGGCCAAGACCGCAAAAATATCTTAAATCATACGGAGGTTATATAAATATGGGTTAAATAGGGTTGTACCCTTATCCGAGAATTATGATCGATATCATGACCTGCAAAAGCGATTTAAGGTATCTTGAATGTTTGGAAAGGATAGAAATCCTTTTCTTACTAAAAGTCCCATTCGCTCTACTATTTTGCACCCTTTATATTTGGTATTTTACTGATTGCACTCCCAAAGAATTTTGCATTTTGAGCTCTCATTGGACGGATTATTGTCACATGAAAGAAATAGGCCCAGGCTTTGAAATGAGCCCCCTTAGGTTTTTTTCGGTCATTTTTGTTTGTTTAAATGTGTTCGCATCTTCCAGCTGAAAAACGGTGTAGGCCCTGGAATTGAAAGGTAGATGTCAGTTTACATAGTATTTCGCACTTATTTAATTTTTTGGTAAAAATTATATAGATTGAAAAATTATTCTTTATTTTGTTCACAAAAAATTCCATTGAATTCAATAAGATAATACAAATTGAAAAAATCTTCAACTTGTTCGCTGATTTTTTACAGCAAATGTTTAAAGATCCTTGTAAAGATTGTCAATAGAATGTACTATTATTTTTAAATTCGATTCCAATGATTTTTTTTTTAGATTTTTTTCCGATTTGAGAATTTTTGCAATGAGATCTCTTTTTTGTGATTTTTTAGCGATTTTGAAAAAGTAATTATCTTTAACTTTGGTGTGACCGCGTTCAATTATTTCGATATTCCATTTCGCCACCACATAATTCGGCACTACACTTCCATGTAACCCGCCATCAATATCAGTTCTCAAGAAATCAAGTCAATTAATTCAAAATAAAAATTCAAAAATAAAATATAAAAAACACTACAAATGTACATTAGAAAAAAGTAAGTCAAAATGGAAAAAAATCATGCAAAATAAAACATTACTATTGTACATTTCAAAAGTCAAAATGAAAATGTTAATATATCACATTTTTACGTGATTTTTTTGGATATTATCCTTTTCGGAGAGGAGACAATTCCGAATTTGTGTGAATCGTTAAAATCAGTCCAGCGATTCTTAAGTTATAAGCGTAGTAACTAACACAACTTTCTTTTATATATATATATATATATATATATATATATATATATATATATATATATATATATAACGAACGATATATATATAAAATGACGAATTTGAAACTATTCATTTTGATTTTTGGAATGTACAATAGTAATGTTTTATTTTGCATGAATTTTTTTTTTTTCATTTTGACTTACTATTTTCGAATGTACATTTGTAGTGTTTTTTTTTTAATTTCTTTTTTGAATTCTAATATGATGTGTAGTCTGTTTTGGGTAGTACAAAGCGACAACAGACAAAACTTTTATTTATGGATTTTATGCATTTATTAGGTAAGTAAAACTATACGAATTGTATATTTTCAGAAGAGGACAAACTTTTTTTTCAGTTTGATTAATTTTATTGACGAATTTTCGAGAACGAAAGTTGCAGTCGGGTTACATTGAATTTTAGTACCGAATTTTGTAGTGGCGAAACTGAATAGATAATGTCGAAAGAATTTAAAGCGGTCACAACTAAGCTAAAGAATAATTACTATTTAATTACTATTTAAAAGTATTTAAGAAATAACGAAAATGGAGACTATCTCATTGCCAAAATTCTAAAATCGGAAAAAAAAAAAAAAAAAAAAAAATATATATATATATATATATATATATATATATATATATATATATATATATATATATATATATATATTTATAATATTTTTTCTTAAATTTCTTAAATTTTCAATTTTATGTCAAAATAATTAAAATAAAACATATTAAATATTCTTAATAAATTGAAACAATTGTTTATTACTATAAATTGTATGGACAAGACTGAAATGCAACTTTTAGCTTTACTATGTTTTATTGTTATAACATACTATTAACATTACCGAAAGGACTCCCGCAACTTGTTTGATTTTTAACAGCAGATGCATTATGGAGATAGAACAGTCTTGTTATGTGGGCTATTGAATGGTTCGCTTTATCACGTACATAGTGAAAGGCCTTATTGAAACATCCCGCTATCATTTTCAATACCAAACATCCTAGACACAACATACAACATTGTGCCAAATTTCAAATTTTCACATCAAATTTCATATCAATATCGTAATTACAGCAGACAATTGAACATAATTAAATCAACTTAGATCATAATTGCATATACAGAATGAAAAATTGAATATACCCTCCACCATGTTATCTAATTCGGGTCTTTTGGAGCAAAGACCTTGAAAAACTTTTTTTGCAAAAAGTTGCATTTCGGTTGCAAAAGGTTTCACTTCATGCGCAAAAAGTTTCATTTCCGCTGCAAAAGGTTTCATTTCCTCTGCAAAAAGTTTCATTTAATCTGAAAATGCTATATATTGAAATAAACCTCGAACATTCTTTAGTTTTCTCGATATTTCGCGATAAATAGACTTTAATTTCTATATATATTAGTGATTTTTTGTTTAACTGCTTATGAACGATTTTTATATGCCAAAAATATTTTGTTTCCTTTGTTTATTTAGATACACTTCTAATAAGTTTGTGTTATTTTGCCATAATAGTTATTTATATTCCCAGGTAAAACCAACGGGAAATTATCAGGATTGGCGGTTGTTTTCTGATACCATTGTGTCACCTTAGCCTCACATTTTTATTCTCTTCACTACTAAATAGTGGTCGTTTTTTTTATTAAAATAACAAAAATGTAATCAAGCCTGAATAATTTGAGTCATTCGAATTTTATTTTTTTTTAATAAAATAAATTCATTAATTTTTTAATTATAAATTTATGTTTAAATATAATAGCTATTTACCTTTGGTTATCCATGCCAATAGTTTGATTCTTCATCTTCCATGTTACGTTTTTGTTACTTGAATAGCATTTTATTGTAACATTTTCACCGATGTTGACAATTTGAATTCCTAAAATATATACATTAAATTAATAAAATATCCTTTAAAATTGTACAGGTAATAAGTAGTTTTAAGTGCCTACAAATACATAGGGGCTGTAAAAATTTTAAATTGTTTTGACGTACATCTAATTCAGCAGGAGGAATCGCCACTATTGTGATTGTCCTATAATGAGTTACTACATAAGTATCACTTCTGATTACTTCTTGTTACATTTTTTTTGCAACATTATTTTACAAATACAAAAAATGACAGGAACTGTTACTTCAAATGACATATATGTGACAACTCCTTCCTAGACAAGGACAGCCAAATGAAACTTCAGACAGAGATCTAGAACGATCCTCCTGAGCACAACAGTAGACGTCTGAAAACATATTCAGTAACGAAAAGACAGTTCCACAACGGAAATTTTACTCGTGTTTTTGTTACAACATTCTAACAAGACAACAGATTAAATTTTGTTTGCTAAAAGAAAATGACCAGTGAAATAAAAGGAAGGAAGAAGAATTTAAAATAGAGTTTTGTGGTTAAACAAAGATCAAAATGATAAATGATTTTTTTGTCATAGGATTCACTGTCATTTTTAAAATAGCTCCTGGGGAGAATATCCCATACAAAAAACAAGGGAACTGTCGAGGAATGGTGTCTCTTTTCGAAACCTAGGTATTTCCTGCCTTAATCCCTGGTAAACATTACCATCGCTCTCCACTAATAAACAAACGTTGTTTTTATAAAAACAACAATAATGGGATTAAGCCTAACCATTTTGCAACAACATAATACTATGGTATCCCGAACAAACATGCCAACACTGCTCTGATAATTTAAAACTATAATAAATATGAAGTGCTGAACTGCTCCATAGCATACAGTTTTGTGAAATTAACCAGTAAAGAAAGTCTTAAAGTCGGGCGGCGCCGACTTTATGATACCCTACACCACTTTGCTAATTAAGTAGAGCTCCACATAACAATTAAAAGTTTCTATGGGAGAATTCAATCATACACGCTATGATTATAATTATAATTTAAAGTTCAAAGGACTAAATTCGGAATTGTATTGCCCATTTGGTGCACAATTAATTTGAAATCGGACAAAGATATATATGGGAGTTATGTCCAAATCTGAACCGATCTCGATAAACTTTGGCAACGATATTTCTGAGCTGTATTTGATATATTTACCTGAATATCGTTGTTACAGAGTGCATATTACGGTTGTGGGTACCAAATATAACAAATCGGATGAATAATATATATGGAAGCTATAACTATATCTGAACCGATCTGAACCAAATTTGACATACTAGCTACTAGACTCAATTCGGTCGTAAGTGCCAAATTCCATACCATTTGGACAAATATTAGACGTTTGGTGCACAATAAAAGGTAAATCGGACGATGTTATATATGGGAGCTATATCCAAATCTGAACCGATCTCGAATTTAGCAAATGTATTTCTAAGCTGTATTTGATATATTTCCCCAAATATTGTTGTTGCATAGTGCATATTACGGTGGCGGTGGACAAAAATAACAAATCGGATGAACAATATATATGGGAGCTATAGCTATATCTGAACCGATTTCGATCAAATTTGGCATACATATTTTCAGGCCTAATATGGGTGTATGTGCAAAATTCCATACAATTCGGGCTGATATTACACGTTTGGTGCACAATAAAAGTCAAATCGGACGAAGATATATATGGGAGCTATATCCAAATTTTGACCGATTATCTCCAATTTCAATAGGGTTCGTCCTTAGGCCAAACAAAAGACCTTTGCAAAATTTCATCTGGATCGGGCAATAAATGCGACCTGTACTTTGTTTACAAAAATACATGGACAGACGGACGGACGGACATGCATAAATCGACTCAGAATGTGATTCTATGCAGATCATCAAAAGGAACTATGGGTCTATCTCGTTTCCTTCTGCCTGTTACAAACAAATGCACAAAGACATAATACCCTGACCACCTTGTGGTGTAGGGTATAAAAACCATAGCCAATAGGAAGCATTAAGATCTGCAAAAGAAATTTTATGAATGGGACGTATATCAACATGAAAGAAACAACAAAAACCCAGATCTTTGACACATGATAAATACAAGAAATTACAACAACAGCATAAATGAATTCCTGAAAAAAAGAATAAAATAAAACTTCAACATGAAAGAATACAACAATTGTTGGTGTTATTCATAATTTTCTATTATTGCCGTTGTTCATCATTAATTTTTGTTGCTGTTTCTATCATTTCTTCTTGCCGCTGTTATTCATCATAGTTGCTGCATTTAACCAATTCGTCGCCGCATCATATCTCTCATTAGTTTTAATGTAGTCGTAAGTAGATTTAAATCAGGCCAAGGCAGAGAGCCTCAAAATTTTTTTGTGATTGTATGTGTTTTGAAATTACAAAATATTGCAAGTGTTTTTTTGCCTCTCTTTACACAGTGAGAAATAATTTGTTTATATTTAAATTTTCAATTGTAAATTTTCTGTTTTCGAAACAATTTTGTTGGTTAAGATTTATATTTTGATCAGACAATTCTGACAAAATAAAACAAGTAAAAAAGCTGTAAGTTCAGCCTGGCCGAACTTTGAATACCCTCCACCGTTTGGAACGAATTTGGCAATTTTCAAACAAAACCCAAAACCAACTTGACAGAAAATTCAAAACCATTTATTTTTTACAAAAATAAGAGTATCCCTTGGAATATCTGTGTGTTCACTAACACAACTATAAAAAATAAATTGTTTTGAATTTTCTGTCAAGTTGGTTTTGGGAGAATATTTAGTTTTATTCGAGCAGTCGATGAGGAAGGTGCTGTCGGATATTTTTATGAATACACCGTAAGAAATATTGGAACACATAAATATATGTTACTACATATTTGATGTCTGTCCGTCTACCAGTCTGTGGAAATCAGTCTAGCTTTCGAACGAAATAAAGTAGGTTAATAAAATTTTACTCAAATGTATATTATGTCTGCAGGACTTTTGGTATGGAAAATGGGCCATGTAGGTCCACGTTTTGGTTTAGCCCGGTAACTACCGATATTCGGTAATTTGATGATTTTAGTGACAGTATTCACCGGATATGTTTCACATTTGGTATTTGAAGTTCGTATATATAACGGCTACATTCGGTATTTTTAAAATTTTAACGGATTTTATTTGTTTGAAAATTGCCAAATTCGTTCCAAACGGTGGAGGGTATTCAAAGTTCGGCCAGGCTGAACTTAAAGCTTTTTTTGTTGTTTTATTTTGTCAGAATTGTCTGATCAAAATATTGATCTTTACCAACAAAATTGTTTCGAAAACAGAAAATTTACAATTGAAAATTTAAAGATAAACAAATTATTTCTCACTGTGTAAAGAGAGTCAAAAAAAACATTTGCAATATTTTGTAATTTCAAAACACATACAATCACAAAAAAATTTTGAGGCTCTCTGCCTTGCCCTGATTTAAATGTTCCCCATGTATGACATTTAAGAACTATAAAACTATAATTAGTACTATGATTGAACTACAACTAGCTGAAAGATTGCACTCCATTTGACTCTCTTAAATAAGCATACATTGATTTTTCTCCCTTATGTATATTTTATCATAAAAAATTATCGATATTTCTTGCACAAAATGCCAAACGTTATTTTCAATTATAATGAAATGAATATGGTTTTTGATTCTCTCGCTGTTAAATGAAGGTAATGTCAGATCAAGTAATTATGTTAGTAGATAGGTATATTTAAGTGGTAGCTTTTAGAATAAGATTGTGTAGGCTACCAATGACGTATCATTTGGGTGGGAGAAATACATTCCTGTAGCAATTATACTTTACATTTACGGACATTTAAAAATGTCAAACCCTTTAATTTGTCTTTCTATACATATTATTCCTGTATGTGGCTTTGTAATTATAGCATGACACCTCTAATGTTGCGAGGCGATAACCAGAGTCAATTAACCACGCCACTGTAGAGTTAGCCAGCAAAACTATTTCATGCCTTTGACTTGGGAATCGTTGGACTTTTAGGAATTATATCCCAGTATACCCTTATAATACAAAGGGCCTGTGCGACCAATACATACGTAAAAAAAGGAACTGACTCTTGTAAAACTGTGAAAATAGTGAAGACCGACGATTGTGAAAAAGAGGAGAAGTTGTGAAGCCAACAATCACACAGGCAATCAAAATTGAAAATCGAACATGGATTGAATTTAGAAGAGCACTCACTCAGTGCTTAGGTATTATGGGAAGTATAAAGAAAATTGTTACAGATAATGAGTTAGGATTTAAAGCTTTACCCCTTTTAGAGTTCCTAAAGGAAAGAAATATAGAAATTCACTTCACATCAAATAACAATCATTCATCCAATTCCGACGTTGAAAGGCTACACAACACGATAAATGAACACATACGGATCCTTAGGCACGATGCCGATACTGTAGAAGAAAAAATATACAAAATAATCTCGTTTTACAACAATACCATACATTCAACAACGGGATGTAGACCCTCAGACTTTATAAACTGGAAAATAGGACGAGATAGGTACCCTACTATAAAAGAAAAACTGCAGAATGCAAAACAAAAATCAATAAATAAAATTAATCATAATCGTGAAAACTGTGAAGTCTTCGGTGATGTCTATATAAAACAGGATCGGGGCGGGAAAAATCACTCAAAGTTTCGAAAAGTTAATGTGGAGGAACTCGATGAAAATCATGTCATTACTAAAAACGGACATATATATTATAAATCCCATCTTAAAAGGGAAAAGGATTTAACTCCTCTATCAGGAAAGAGACTAAAATACGTTACCGGAACAATGGACAGCAAAGACGAAGAAAAAATACTGAACCATTTTCCCGAATAGACAACATTAATAAAGAGACATCGTCCGAAATTGACAAACTTACCTATCTATATACGATACTATCAAATGAAGTAACTAATATAACAACACACAAAAACAACCAACAACACATTAT